GTGGATATCTAACGTGTAGTAATCCAGCGCGTGGATATTCAACGCGTGTAAGTCCAACGCGTGGTAATTCTAAGCGTAGGAATCTAATGCGTGGTAATCTAACGCGTAGTTAACCACCGCGTAGTAATCCAACGCGTAATAATCCAACGCGTAGTAAGCCTAGCGCTCTGATTGGTCCGCGTTTTTTCTTAATAATTCAAAAACGAAGCTTCAAACCCAATTTTTGCAAAGGGAAATCTTATTCAGAATCGCATCAGCTACATTTCAGGAACCTACACTAATTGTGAGACATCCTGTGTCAATACATTTTAACAAACACCTAATTACCTCACAACTGAAACTTAACTTCCTCAGCCCCCTTATTCCAATTCACTCTAAAATAAATATACAAATGTACACCTGAAATATTTCATTTTCCACTGTTACAAATATTAAAATTTCTGTTATATATATTTAAAGTTTTCTATAAAAATTAACCTCGAAGTCCTGCATCAAACGATAAGAATTCTTAAAAAAAAAGATTTGTCAGCCATTTTAAAATTCCGAACCGAATTTAAATCGATGGAACGTTAAGACGTCACATGCATGTATGTAAGAGTTAATTTGCATGCATTATTTGTACGGTGCCGTGTTAATTACTTTATGATAGTATTCATGTAGTTTGAAGTTTAACTAGCAGACTGCTCGGTGCCGTAAGTACCAAAGGATATTCGCTATTCACCGCCATGTGACTGTACATTAGTTCGATATTAATAGGGTAATTAGGTGGCACTAATAACCTAGTTACGTCGAAGTCCTCTCTGGTATGAAAAGGAGGACTTACTAGAATAATACGATTATATGTACGTAGGTGCACGTAAGACCGCGATTACAGGTATACATACTAATGTAAACTTCATTCACCTTCTGCCATAATCGTGTTTGAAATTTTTTCACCAAACCGGGGTGAATTATTCATGTATTCGTACTGGAAAAAAATCACAGAGTAATTGCTTAATGCGTTGAATGTCTATGTGCGTGAATTACGAGGCAGATTATACTTTCCCCTTTGAAGGATCGGGAGGATTATTTTATGTGAAAGAAAATGTGGCCATGAAATGCTTCGTGGTATGGTTATAATTAGATGGAACGTGTGTTACGAAAATATTTTCGAGCTAGAGAACTGGAAAACATGTTAAAATTTTGTAATTTATTGATATGAGAATTTCTTTGTTTATAAATGGTGAAATTTTTTTATTTTGAACATGATTTAAATTTATGTATCTATATTAAAATATTCGAGATTATAAATTCTCAAAATTGCAGCATATTCAAGTGTTCAAAATTTTTAATTTTCACAATTGATCAAATTTTCAACATTCTTGAAAATTCAAATTTTCAAATCACCAAGTTCTTAAGGTGGCAGATAAGAAATGGAAAATCCCCAAATTTCTTGAATCATCAAATCCTAAAATTTCTCAATTTACCAAACTAGAAATCTCAAATTCCTAAATTACCAAACCACAAGTTTCACAATTTACCAAACCAAAAATCCCCAAATTACCAAACCCCAAACTTCACAATTTACCAAACCAAAAATCCCCAAATTACCAAATCCCAAACTTCACAATTTACCAAACCAAAAATCCCCAAATCCCCAAATCTTAAATATCTAAATCACCAAACCAAAAATCCCCAAATTACCAAACCCCAAATTTCACAATTTACCAAACCAAAAATCCCCAAATTACCAAACTCCAAACTTCACAATTTACCAACCCAAAAATCCCAAAATCCCCAAATCCCAAATTCCTAAATCTCAAATTGCTTAAATCCCCAAGTCCCCAAACAAAAAATTTAAAAATCCCCACCCTCCAAATCTCCAACTCCCAAAACACCCCCAAATCCCTAACCAAATTAAAAATTCCTCAAACCTTGAAATTCAAAAATTCCATAACCTCTCATCTTCTCTGAATTCGACGCGGCGTACATCGTTCCGCCCTTATCGAGCGAAATTTCAAGAAAATTTGCTAATAATGCCCCTTTTACCATAGAACCACCTTAACGTACAACGACAGTTCCGCGATCTTCCCGTACCGCACGGATAATAAGCATAGCAGCCGGTGGTAATATTGCAAAGTCAAATGCCGCGAAATTTTCAACGCGAACACACAGATTGAACGTAAGAACGTAGTCGAGTAGATATAACGAGGCAGCTCGTTGAAACAAGTTTCGCTTCTTGAACCCGAAGACAGGAACAGCGGGCGTGCGTGTAAAGAAACAGAGGATGATAATCCTCTTCATAGTGCCTTGTATAGCGCACACATACTCGCCGGAACTTAGGAAACGTGTAAGTACATACGGTGTACAGTCGTAAAACGAACCGCGGAGGCTTACACATGTACTGTCTGCCGACGGTGTATATCCTACGGTGGGGTGCGTGTACGTGTAAAGTCGTTTGCACACACACATACACGTGGTAAAAGCACGTGGTAGTTTCCCGTGCAGGGACTCGAGTTGGCTAAACTTTGGTCGATGTACTTGCACCGTCTACCACCACTCTTAAACGTGGCGATACGGAACTCTATCGTGTTTGTCTTTTTCGCTGTACATATTTTTCTTCATCCGTGACAGTTAACGATTACGCTGCCGAGAATTTAAGTATCGCTCGATTTATGAGTTGACTCGAGGGACGAAAATTTAGCGCGAAAGATACATAAGGAGTTTAATCGTTCGGTGTCGTGGCGAAGGAGCCTTCCTTTGTGGTTAGACATTTAAATTTAGACGTAGACTGAATAGATCGCCACCGAACTACCGGTTTACGATGGCACACGTGCTGTCTTGTGTAGCTTATGGGAAATTCGACGCAATAACGCACGGTCACATTCTGTGAAATGTATTGGGTAGTTCGAGTTTTACGCTGTATGTTTGCTAATATTTAACCGAAGTTTACAGCAACAATTGATATGTAATTAATATTGATATGTTACTGTTTAACTAAATTTCAGTGTGACAATAATGATGGAGTGTGTGAATGTTTTGTCCAATATAATGAAACATTTCGATATTATATTGTCATGGTTTTTTAACTTTCAAATTTATAAATTATCAAGTCGTCGTTATCGATCTACCAGTCAATTAGTCTAGCAATGTATCAATCGAACAATTTATCAATCAACTGAGCACTCAGTAAATCAATCTATCAATTCGTCAATTCATCAATGCATCAATGCATCAATTCATCAATGTATCAATGCATCAATTCGTCAATTCATTAATTTGTCAGTTCATCAATTTGTCAGTTCATCAATTTACCAATTTGTCTATTTGCTAGTTTATCAATTTACCAATTTCCCAATTTGTCAATTCATCAATTTACCAATTTGATAATTTGTCAATTTAGGATCTATCAATCTATCAATCTACCAATCTACTAGTTTACCAATCCATCAATTCCACCAATCCACCAATCCATCAATCCACTAATCCATCAATCCACTAATCCATCAATCCACCAATTCACCAATCCATCAATCCACCAATCCATCAATCCACTAATCCATCAATCCATCAATCTATCAATCCATCAATCCACCAATCCATCAATCCACGAATCCATCAATCCATCAATCCACCAATCCATCAATCCACGAATCCATCAATCCACGAATCCATCAATCCATCAATCCACCAATCCACCAATCCATCAATCCACTAATCCATCAATCCACTAATCCATCAATCCACCAATTCACCAATCCACCAATCCACCAATCCATCAATCCACCAATCTATCAATCCATCAATCCATGAATTCATCAATCTATCAATCCATCAATCCATCAATCTTCAAATTCATCAACTTATCAAATATTTAGTTTGCTAAAATCTCAAATGAAAAAATTTATAAATCAAAAATGTTTCCCCATCGAAAATTTGAAAATGACAAAACTTTGAAATATAAAAGTAAAATCTTCCCTCTAAGCAGGATACAACTGGCATCGCGCTAAAAAAAACGGTACCAGAGGACTCCTCGACGCTCCTAACGTAATACCACCGTCACGTTTGCAAGCAAAAACACCAAAAACGAAATGGTTTATATGAAATTTTTTAGTCTGTCTCCGTTGGAATCCCTGTAGATACATAAAACCACCGCTCGCCTACAACTTGTGTCGCTCTTCTATCTGACAATGATGCTTTTCTTACGAGCTTTGCAAACTCGTTAGCGTTCGCTCACTTAAGGAACTCGTTAGCTACCTAAGTAGTGAATTAAGCATATATCTTCTCGTCTCTTCTTTCGCTTGCGGCGCTGTGTGTTTCGATTTTCTACCTCTTTCCTTTCTATCTCACCCTCTATCCCTCTCTGTTTCTGTCTCCTTTACGCGCAAGCACGCTTCCGTTTTCCTACTCCACTTTGAAGATAGTTTCTTCGCTCAGTTGCATTAGTCTGTGGTTTCGACCCGGTTAAAAGTTCTATCTGGAATCGTTTAGATCGGAGTTTCACTCCGGCAACTTGTAACATCTTATACCGAGAAATAATGTTCCTTCCATTCCGTGACTTTCCGCAAGGCAATCCTTCATCCTTGACATTGCGACTTGTTCGAGACGCCTTTCATCGCACTATTATTGCTTATTAATTATGCAGTCGCTCGATCGGCCGTAATTAACCTCTTGCCTTGCAGTTTACTTGGCAGGTGTGTCAGAACTGTTCAGAGCGTTGACACGAACAAAGAAAGCTGAAATTTTATGGCGATTTTCAGGGATACTTGACTTTGCGAATTATTGGATTTAAACTTTAAGCTCTTTGACATTTTATAACAAATTAACAGAGTTTAAAAAAATATATTAAAATAACCCAATTCTTCACAAATAAAACAAAAGAAAATTTAGCTAAATCGGTTGAAGAGTTTCTAAAAAAAAAATTCGTAAGTGAAACTTATTTTCGCAAAAATGGGCAAAAATTGCTAACTTTGAAGACTTCTTGTTCCTTCACAAATTCGAAACCGACAAAATGATGACTTAAACCCCCCTTAATTTTGAGTGAAATTCGTCAGATTAGTGAGTGCGTCAGTCTACGAATATACCATATTTCATATAAACACATCGCAAGAAAATAGTTGAAATTTCGTGGCAAAGTTTAATAACATCAAAGCAAAATCTTCACGTAATTAAACGTGCTGTATGATGTTTGCAGGATTTCAGAAATTTCATAATGTAGGTTATTTTGCATGAAAATTCCTATTCAATCAACATCAATGGGGGTTCGTCTGTTGGCATTCCGTCGTTCTACAATTTCTGAACGAAATTTATCAGATTTGAAAACCCGAGACAGACTACATACCTCATTTCTATAAATAGGAGCATGTCTTCGTTATGATATCCACGATGCCCTAGTGCTTTGATAATGGAACATTAAATGTGGAAAATGTACGGCAATACCAGCTTTCAAAGTGTATTAACATAGATAAAATTTGTGCGGTAATAATACTTCTCTTTGCCATTAATATGCGAGAATTTTGCATTGAAGAAGTTCAGCGGTTGCCATTTCAGAGTTAAATGATAAGCAGATGCTTGTTTGTATAGGAAGTATGCGGGGTTATTCAATTTCCCAATTTTTGGTTTTTCAATTTTTCAATTTTTCAAGTTTTCAAGTTTTCAATTTACAAATTTCCCAATTTCCCAATTTTCAGGATTACTAATACACCAATTCACCAATTTCCCAATTTTTCAGTTCCCCAGTTTTCCAATTTCCCAATTTCTCAATTTCCCAATTTTCCAATCTCTCAATTTCCCGATCTCCTAATTTTCCAATCTCTCAATTTCCCAATCTCCCAATTTTCCAATCTCTCAATTTCCCGATCTCCTAATTTTCTAATCTCTCAATTTCCCAATCTCCCAATTTCTCAATCTCTCAATTTCCCAATCTCTCAATTTTCCAATCTCTCAATTTCCCAATCTCTCAATTTCCCAATCTCCCAATTTCCCAATCTCTCAATTTCCCAATTTCTCAATTTCCCAATCTCTCAATTTCCCAATTTCCCAATTTCCCAATCTCTCAATTTCCCAATTTCCCAATTTCCCAATTTCCCAACTTCCCAATTTCCCAATTTCCCAACTATCCAACCCAAAAATTTGATAAATCTCACAACTCCTAATTTCCAAACTCACAAAACCTTACATCATTAAATTTCCAAATTTTCTAAAATAAATATTAACCTCATTTCCCATAGATGTTTGCTTTTAGATGAACAAAATAGACAGCAAACAGCACCGGATAATTCACAACTGTTGTAAGTACATTTATAACGCCGCACGTAATGGAAGGTTAATACAAAATGGCCGGTTGTCAGTTATAATAAACGACGACCGATTTCGTCGCACAGGAAATCAAACACGATTTGATAAAAGCATAACCAAATAGCACTTTTGGCCTGAAGCTTAAAGTTTGATTAAAATGACGCATGTTAATATTTTTTGTATAAAATAACCGGTTATCGATTGCGACGTTAACCATTGAAAATTGGATATTTGTTAATGGACAATATTACAATCTCAAAGAACCAATTATTTTCTATTAAATATGATAAAACATTCTCGTATTAAATTTATTGATATTAAATTCTATTCTATTTATGAACTTGCAGCGTATAACACAATAACGTCGTTCTAAGTTGTCGAAGACAAATATTTCATAACTACGATTTTAATTTGGAAAATAATAAAGAGTTAAATGTACGACAGCACGCGATTCTTGAGCTCTTCCCTTATTTTCGACGGTATAATTTTAGCATGCTTCTTGTAGACATCTGATATAATTAAATATTTTATACCTCGTGTCAGTAAAGTTCGAGAAACATTCTAATAAATCATGAATGTTCCCAACACGGATTTCCGTACTAGCGACAGGTTATCTCCCCATAAAAGCCACTCGACGTTCCGCACAAAAGCTTTATTATTCTCGTAACACGCCAAAGATTTCAGAAGAACGACAGCGAAAGCTCATTTTAAAGATACAATTTTAAAAGAAACGATGATCGGAAGAAAAATTTTGTAAGAGGCAACTTTAACAAATCTACTCTTGATTATTATGGAGGAAGTCTGAAGCTTCGTGCATAACGAAACTGTACGTGGATGGATCCCTTATTTACTCAGATTTGAACTCGTCTTGTGTTACGCAACTTTGCTCTAATTTTCAAGGAAACTTTTCTTAATGTGCAGGTGGAGGCACATTCGAAAGGCACGAAACGTACAATGGTTCTCTACTGCAATTCCATCGTGTTGAGAGGCGACAAATGGGAGCGTATCTGTGCATCGCCAGCAACGACGTGCCGCCTGCCGTTAGCAAGCGAGTGACACTCGCCGTGAATTGTAAGCTCGTTTTCCTCCTAATCCCTGATTGTACTCGATAGAAAAGCACCCACCATTGATAAAAGACGATACTGTTGCTGATGTAACGACACCCTCCGTAATGACAGGTCTCTGACCATTCACCTATACAGGCTGTCTCACAACTAATGTAGGTTTCACAATTAGTGTGGATCTCACTATTAGTTAGGTCCTTGAAATAGGGGATAGCTGACGTGATTTTGTACAAGATTTCCCTTTGCAAAAATTGGGTTTGAAGCTTCGTTTTTGAATTATTAAGAAAAAACGCGGGTCAATCAGAGCGCCAGGCTTACTACACGTTGGATTATTACGCGTTGGTTAACTACGCGTTAGATTGCCACGCATTAGATTCCTACGCTTAGAATTACCACGCGTTGGACTTATACGCGTTGAATATCCACGCGCTGGATTACTACGCGTTAGATATCCACACGCTGGATTACTACGCGTAGATTACGACACATTAGATTTCTATGCTTAGAATTACCACGCGTTGCATTATTACGCGTTGAATTACTACGCGTTGAATATGCACGCGCTGGATTACTACG